CACTGCACTCCAGTCTGGGCTACAGAGTGAGACTCCAACTCAAAACAAAACAAAACAAAAGAAATAAAGCATATCACATGCAAGATGTCAGTAAGTGCCATGGAGGAAAATGGTGGCAAAGGAGGGAGTCATAGTACAGTGAGTTGCAATTTAGAAAAGGGTGGTTAGGGAAGGCCTTTCTGAAAAGGTGACATTTGAGCAAAGGAAGAGGTAAGGAAGCGGGTTCTGCAGGAATCTGAGAGGAGAGTGCTCCACACAGAGGGAACAGTACTTGCAAAGGCCCTGTACAGGGGACCTGCCCCAGGTTCAAGAGACAGTCAGAAGGCCAGTGTGGCTAAAAAGGCTGAGCAAGGGCAAGAGAAACAGAAGAACCAGAAAGACATCAAAGGGCCCAGTCAGAAAGGGCTTGTGGGTCATTGCTAGGACTTCCACCCTGCTGTGCGAGGGAGGAGCCAATGGAGAATTTGAGAGAAGTGAAGTAGTCTCAGATCTTAGCAAGATCCCTTGGGCTGCCATGTTGAAAATGGGCCCTGGGAGCCACAGGGGGAAGTAGGAGCCTAGTGAGCATGGTTGCTTCTAGAAAATGGGAAGGGTCATAGTACCTCCCCCACAGGACGGTTAGGAGACATAAACATTGAACAAAGGAGAGACGGCCAGGCCCAGTGGCTCACGTCTGTAATCTCAGCACTTTGGGAGGCAGAAGTGAGAGGATTGCCTGAGCCTAGGGGTTTGAGACCAGACTGGGCAACTTGGCGAGACCTTATCTCTACAAAAAATTTTTTAAAAAATTAGCCAGGCTTGGCGGTGCACGCCTGTAGTTCCAGCTGCGGAGAAAGCTGAGGTGGAAGGATCGTCTGAGCCCAGCAGGTCGAGGCTGCGGTAGCCATGAGTGTGCCACTGCACATCAGCCTGGGTAACAGAGTGAGTTTCCAGTGGGGGAAAAAAGGTGACATGACTCTGGCAGCAGGGCAGGGGTAGGAGCATCTTCTCAGAGGACAACCAAAAGCTTCCCAACCAGAAGGGGCCTTAGGAAAGGCACAGGGCAGGTAAGGAATGTGTGGGACACGTGGGCAGGAGGCTGAGAAGGTAGAGACCGATGCAGCCAAAACAAAGGATTACCAAGGCGTGGAAAGTGGTAAGATCCTGCCAGGTCCCTCATCCAAGGCGAAGGAGTTTGGACAGATCATCCGAGGCATGGGGCATCCAGCAGAGTTTTGGGAGATGTGTGACAAGATGAAAAGGCAATTTAAGGAAGAGGACCTCTTTGCTACCTAAAGCATCTCATCGGATATTGCTAATTAATCTTCCACACTGCACAAGAGTGACCTTTCCAAAGTGCAAATCTGATCACATTATGCCCCTGCTTAAAACAATTTGATTGACCACAGCGCACAGGACAAAAGGCAGACTCCTTATCCACCTCCAAGCCTTGGTGGTCTGGCCCCTGCAGCCCCCTCTACCCTCACTGCCTTCCCCCACACATCTGCTTTCTCTCTAATTTTATTTTATTTTATTTTATTTTATTTTACCTTTTTTTTTTGAGTTGGAGTCTCACTCTGTCGCCCAGACTGGAGTGCAGTGGCCACTCTCGGCCACCGCAGGCTCGACCTGCTGGGCTCCGGCGATCCTTCCGACTCAGCCTTCCAAGTAGCTGGAACTACAGGCACACGCTACCACGCCCGGCTAATCTCTCTAATTTTAGAAGTCACCGTGCTCTCTCCCGCCCCCGTGTCTGGCTCCACAGCTCCCGCCTAGAGCCCAGGGCTGAACAAGTCCTACGTTCTGTGCTTCTGGAACTCCCTCTGCCTTTCCCCAGGGAACTTTCCAGAGCTTGTTCCTAGATGTTTGAGATCTATCTACTTAATGCCAGTCTTCTCTGCTGGCCCATCAACTGCCTGTGTCAGGGCTGATGGATATTTCATGGGCTATTGGGGTCTGGAGCACCCAGCACAATGCCTGGCATCTGAATGAATGAACTCAGTAGATGGAGGAAGAGGATGCTTGGGTTGAGCCTAGATTCAGCACTTAATCCTCCCCTGGAGACACCCCCTCCAACTCAATGCCGCCTTCTCAAGGGAGGTTTGCTTGTCACCCTTCAGGTCAGGCCAGGACCCTTTGTCATTGTTCTTTTCTCTCCTTGACAGTTGTAACAAAGCAATAATTAGTTACATGTGGAGTCACCTGTTTAGTTGTCAGTCACCCTGCTCCCCAGGAACATAATCACTGACATTTATTGAACTCTCGTGTTCTAAAGGCTCTAAATGACAGGCAGTTATCCTCAACACCACTCCACAGGCAGAGAGAGAAACTGAGGTACAGAGAAGTCAAGGAGGAGGAGGTTCAGCCAGTAGATGACCAAGTCAGGATTTGAACCCATATCAGCTGATCCCAAAGGCTCTGTGCATGACCACTGTGCCACACAACCTCACCATGTGGCTCTTGTCCACCAACACATCTCCTTCAGCGCCAGACACCACCCTGGCCTAGAACAGACACAGTTGATTCTCAACATTTGCAGATTCTGTACATTCAAATCGGCCTACTTGCTAAAATTTATTTTTAACTCCAAAATCAATACTCTTGGCACTTTCTCTGTCATTTTCAGACATGCAGAGTGGCAAAAAAGTGAGTTGCCTGACATGCATGTTTCCAGCTGAAGTGGAACGGGGTGACGCCCTGCCTTCTTGTCTCAGCTCTCATGTTATAAACAAGTGTCTTTTCTCTGTCCATTCGAAATCAGGTTTTTTGCATTTTTGTGCTTTGTTGTTGGTGATTTCTCTGTTTGAAATGGCCCCCCAGCTTAGTGCAGAAGTGCTGTCTAGCATTCCTAAGTGCATGAAGGCTGTGCTGTGCCTTATACAGAAAGTCTGTGTTAGATCAACTTCATTCAGGCAGGAATTATAGTGCTGTCAGCTATAAATTCAATATTGATGATCAGCAATATATATTAAATAACACCTCTTTAAACAGAAATGCGTAGAAAACACGGTTGTATTAAATCAGTTGATGAATAGGTTGTGACCAGAGGCTCACAGGAAACTAAACCTATATTCTCAGTAACAGCGATGGGTCAGTACTCACTAATACAGTGTTTGCAGTGACTTTACAGAACCGAGAATAAAGAGAATCACCAGTACGGGGTTAATGACTGGATGGGAAGATGGCTGGCAGGATGAAGCGGGTGAGAAATGCACCAAGAACTTGGCCTCATCAACTCGTCCTCTCCCCGCTCAGGGATCAGAATCACCAAGGTGGACTGGCAGCGGTCAAAGAATGGCGCTGCCCACCACACCCAGGAGTACCCCTGCCCTGAGCTGGTGGTTCGCAGGGGTCAGTTGTTCCGCCTCACCCTGGAGCTGAACGGTGCCCCGGACAGCGAGGAGGCCGTCATCTTCACGGTGGAGACAGGTAACTGGGCTCACCAGCAACCCCTGCTGGCCTGCGGCTGGGGGGGCCTCGTCTTGTGACCAGTAACCTGAGACCTTGCCCTCAGCAGTCCAAGCTTTGGGGGAAGCAAGTCCCTGTCGGTGGGCTGAGCCGTGAGCCCTGGAAGCTTTTGGTGACAGCTTTCTGAGGGTGATTGGAAGGCGCTGCTTGCAGACAGGGGGATGGGTGGGGTGAGCTCTCTGGAACCCTAAGTGTACCAAGGAATCAGGGCACTGGAAGGGTATGAAGTCACTGAGCACTTTGAAGCCCACGCTTTTTTTTCTTTTTTCTTTTTCTGTAGAAATGCGGTCTCACCAAGTTGCCCAGTCTGGTCTCAAACCCGTGGGCTCAGACAATTTACTCGCCTCGGCCTCCCAAAATGCTGGGATTGCAGGCTGAGCCAGGGAGCCTGGTCAAGTCCACGCTTTTTGTTTCTTTCCTTGGTGACTTTTAGGCAGGCTTTGGTTTTAAAAGGTGATGTCACTTTCTCCTTGGCCCAAGAAGAGGCTGGGAGTCAGGACGGCTGAGGTGTCCTCCTCTCTACCACTGGCTTTCTTGCTCTTGGTCAGGTCCTGTCCTCCAACAATGTAGGCGTTTCGGGGGTGAGCTGGGCTTCCAGGTGCAGGGTCTCCTGAACCCCTCTCCTCTCCACCAGGACCCCAGGCTTCTGAAGCCCTCCACACCAAAGTGGTATTCCAGACATCGGAGCTGGAAGTGGGTGACACCTGGACAGCAGTGAAGGAGGCTCAGACAGAGAACATCCTAACCGTCAGCCTCACCAGCCCTCCCGATGCCATCATCGGCCACTACCTGCTGAGTGCCAGACTTTCCTCCCGACGCAAACACAGTGATCGGAAGCTGGGCGAGTTTGTTCTCCTTTTCAACCCATGGTGCCCAGGTAGGGGCTGCTGAGTCCAAGGCAGAGTTTTCCCGGGAGCTGTCCTCGGAGGCGGGCCTGCCTTGGAGGGCCCTGGAAGGCGGGTTAAGGGACAGAGGGGGGTGAATGCCAAGAACCAGACAAGAGCTTGGCCTAGACAGGGGTGGGCACCAGGCAGAGGTACCCAGTAGCAGATGCTACAAAGGGCCTGTGCTACAAAGTGGCTCAGGCCTGTGATCCCAGCATCTTGGAGAGGCAGAGGCAAGAGGGTTACCAGGGATTAGAGACCAGCCTGGGCAACTTGGTGAGACCTCGTCTCTACAATAAATCAAGAAATTAATTGGGTGTGGTGGCACACGCCTGTGGTTCCAGCTACTTGCAAGGCTGAGGTGGAAGGATCACCTGAGCCCAGCAGGTTGAGGCTGCAGTGGCCGCGAGAGGCTGGGAGGCAGAGTGAGACTCCTGCTCACAAAAAAGGGAGGGGGCGAGGGGGCCTGTGTCAGAGGGGCTGGAATCTGGTGATTTCTGGTGTGCAGAGGCCAGTGGGCAGGAGATGCCCAGGGATCGGTAAGAGCCCCAGACTTAGGAGTCAGACTGCCTTGGTCTAGTCCCAGCTCTGCTAAGTTTTTTCACTCTGCGAATCTCAGTTTCCTCAACTGTAATATGGGAATCATAACAATGTCTACCTCATAGGACTGTGGTGAGAATTCCTACAGCCCATGCTTGTCAAGTACGCAGTGTACCAGAAGGCCTCAGTAAGGGGTGACTGGGATCACTATTCTTATTAATATTTAAGAAATATGAAGCTGCTATTGGCTTTAAGGAGGGTCACCCAAAGGTGTCAGGACTCCTAAAATCCTTCAGTGTTGGGCTGGGTTGGGGTCAGTCCCTGCTTGGGCAAGGACCAGCCAGGAGGAATGGGCTTGGCAGGAAGGCGGCATGGGAGCCTGCGGGCACCCTCTCGCCCTCTCCTGGCCCAGGCAGCCTCCAGGCGCTGCCCTGCTGCTGTTCCCTGATGAAGTCCCTTCCCCAGGCCTGCAAGGCCAGAGCCTCAGCCCACACGGGGCCCGATGACTGCTTTTCAGAGGATGACGTGTTTCTGGCCTCCGAGGAGGAGAGACAGGAGTATGTGCTCAACGACAGCGGCATCATCTTCCGAGGCGTGGAGAAGCACATCCGAGCCCAGGGCTGGAACTACGGGCAGGTCTCCAGGGGCACAAGCCAGACAGGGACGCAGGCTGGGGTGTGGGGAGGTCAGCCGGGACAGGAGCCCTTCTGTCTGCTCATTTCTCAGGAGGGACAAGCTGGGCTGATTCTTAGAGCAAATCCATTCATTCATTCATCTGCTGTTCATTGGGCCAGGGCCTGTGCTGGGTGCTTGGAAGGGGAGGTGCTTTGGATACAGTTTTGAAACAGGTCAGTTCTGATGTGGAAAGATAAATCGCTCCAATCAGTGGTTGTCAAACTTGAACGGGCATCAGGATCACATGGAGGGTTCCTTAAAACCTGGATTACAGGCTGAGCACCGTGGTTCATGCCTGTAATCCTAGCACTTTAAGAGGCTGAGGTGAGAGGATTGCCTGGGTCCACAGGTTTGAGACCAGCCTGGGCAACCTGGTGAGACCTCATCTCTACAGTAAATCAAAAAATTAGCCAGGTGTGGTGGCATGTGCCTATAGTTCCAGTTACTTGGAAGGCCGAGGCAGAAGGATCACCTGAGTCCAGCAGGTTGAGGCTGCGGTGGCTGTGAGTGTGCCACTGCACTTCAGCCTGGGCAATAGAGTGAGACTCCAACTAAAAAAAACCCAAAAAACAAAAACTTGGATTGCTGGGCCCCATCCCCAGAGAACCGACTAGGTAGGTCTAGGGCAGGGCCTAAGAATCTGCATTCCTAACAAGTTCCCGGGTGATACTGATGCTGCTGGTCTGATATCTTACTTCGAGAGGCACTGGCGTAGATAATAGTTATGATTCCAGACGCAGTGAGGGAGGAAAGTCAGCATATTAGGGATGTGGGCAAAGGAATCCAGAAGACGATGAAAGGAAGCTGCACCTGGGGACTGTGGAAGATGTCGTGATATTGGCGTCGGCATTGGGTCTCCCAAGTTAGGATCTGAACAGGCAGAAGGAAGAGCCGTCAGAGCTGCGTGGAGGTGGGACATGAGGGAGTCCCTGAGTCTGCTGGGGAAGTTCTGTCTGCTGAACTCCAGGTACCCAGCAGGAAGAAGGCAGGACAAGCGTGTTAAAGACTTAACCATCAGGTCGAGGAGTTTTGCACTGCCCTTCAGGCCAGGGGATCAAAGCATTAGAGGTTCAGGTGCTGGGCAGAGAAGATACAGAGGAGAGTTTGGAGAACATTGGAGGGGTAGCCAGTACTCAGCACCTGCCTTTTGTTGCCAGACCTCCCACATTTTATGAGACCATAAATCTTAATTTGTATGTAAAAATACTCCAGTTTTTAAAAGTTGCCAACTAATACAAATGTATCAAAAACATCATGCCGAGCAAATGAACATATTAGTGAGACAGACATAGTCAGGTGCCACCAGCTTTAACGCAGACTTTACTGTGGGCAGTAAGGAGCCATGGGAGGTTGTTGAGCAGTGGAGAGGCATGATTAGGTTGAGCTTCTGGGTCCCCAGGTGACTCTTTGGGAAAGAGTTTCCAAGACTAGGGGATGCTCTGTGATGTCCCTGGGGGATGAGGGTGGGGCAAACTCCCTCGAGCAGACACAAGAGACTGGCCGGGGAAAGGGTGATGGAAGGGTCTGGAATATGGGTGCCTGAGCACAGCCTCTAAGCACAGCCTCTCTGGGGAGCAGTTTGAGGAGGACATCCTGAACATCTGCCTCTCCATCCTGGACCGGAGCCCCAGTCACCAAGACAACCCGGCCACCGATGTGTCCCGTCGCCACGACCCCATCTACGTCACCAGGGTCATCAGCGCCATGGTGAGCAGCCGCTGCCATCTCTGCCTGTGTTCTTCTTCAAGGCTTCCCTGTCAACCCCAGGGCCATGCCCTGTGCTTCCTCCCAAGTCACCCCGTGTTTTAATCCTCTATTGCTGCATAACAAACCACCTCCAAACTCAGTGGTATAAAACAACCTTTTGTTACATTTTCAGTTTTGTAGATCAGGAATTCGGTCAAGGCGCCATGAGAACGGCCACTCTCTGGTCTAGGATGCTTCAGCTGGAGTGTCTGAGTGGCTGCAGGTGTCTGGTGTTAACTAAAAAATTATAAGATGTCTACATTTGGGAAAGGAGACTTTGTTTTTTGTTAAGGTTTACAGCCTGCAAGGTGACCATTCGCAGACTGGGAGGCACAGCCTCTGGCAAGGATCAGAGACAGGCTTTAAATGTAGATGTCTGTGACTTAACCTTTGCCTGGTATGGCCTCGGGTCTTGTTTATAATTTGGTACCTTATTGAGTCTATTTTGTCAGTCTTATGATCTCTATTTTAATATTAATGCTGGTCAGTTGTGTCTAAACTGCAAAAGAGAGGTAGTATAATAGGACATGTCTGACCTCCTGTCCCATCCTGGATAAGAACTCGGTGTTAAGGTTTTTTTGGAGTCCCCATGTCCAGGAAGGTGTCCATTTAGTTGGTGGTGACTTAGGATTTTATTTTTAGTTTACACTGATATGGTTTGATGGCACCATAAATCTGGGGCTGGTTCTGGTGGGCAGCAGTTCCTTAGTTCTGGGGGACAGCACTTCCTTGGTTCCTGTCCACACCGTGTCCACTGGAGTTGGAATGTCCAAGATGACTTCCTCACCCTCATGTCAGGCCCTGGGGTAGGCTGGCTGGAACAACTGGGAATGGCCAGTCATCCCTCTTTTCCACACACCCTTTCCATGGAGCAAGCTTCCTCACAGCATGGCAGTCTCATGCATGGCATCTGGCTTCCCCCCAAGCAAGAGGGAGTGGAAGCTCCCAGTCTAATAAGGCCTGGAAATTGGCACAGCATCACTTCCGCCATAATCAGTGGTCAAAGCAGTCACAGGCCAGTCCCACCTCTCCATGGGAGGGCTACCAATTTTAACCAATCACAGACCTCAAGCCACAGTGCTTCCTCCCCCAGAAGTTGGTGTGGCCCACAGGCTCCCTCTGTCACATGCAACTGTTCACTGGGCAGGTCTCCGACATCCCAAATTGCACAAAGCTGTGTTTCCCATATTTGAGACAATCCTTCAAGACCTCAGAGAGCTGTTGGAGCGCAAAGTACCAAAAGCAGTGGCAATCCCAAGCAGCAGAGAAGGCCAGCACTGCTGACAGAAAAGGTCCTGAAGTCCAGGCTCCTGAGTCCAGGTCCTGGACTTACAGGCCACCCCTTTGATTAGCTTGATGTGTGATTTGGGCAAGCCCCTTAATGCCACTGAAGCTCAGTTTTCTCATCTGAAAAGACAAGAATAGTATCACCTACACTGTAGACTTAAACAGGTTACTATAGTGTGCACAAAGTCCTTAGGGCAATGGCTGGTGCACGTTAAGTATTTAATTCATGTTAGCTGTCTCTGTAATTATTGTACCACCAACAGTCCCCAAAGACGGGTCATTTGAAACCAGAATGCTCCAGAATTGTAGATGATGTTCAACAACAACGTATCCAAAAAGAAGATAACTGAAAATGAGAAGTAGTGCCAAAAAAAGTGGATTATTTTAAGACAGCAGATGCCCCCAATTTCCAAACCATTTAAAAGCAGGCATGACCTCGATTGACTTGGGTGGTCCAAAGCTGGGGTGCATTTTACAGCAGCCAGGTTCCAAAGTGGAGAGCCCTGCCTGGTGGTGGACTTGTGCCCTCTTCTGCCCAGGTGAACAGCAACAATGATCGTGGCGTGGTTCAAGGCCAATGGCAGGGCAAGTACGGTGGCGGCACCAGCCCGTTGCACTGGCGCGGCAGCGTGGCCATCCTGCAGAAGTGGTTCAAGGGCAGGTACAGGCCGGTCAAGTACGGCCAGTGCTGGGTCTTCGCGGGAGTCATGTGCACAGGTACCTGGGAAAGAAAGGCCCTTCCCCCAGCCCTCTTCATTTGCACGTATTTATAGACATTTGCATATACCACCATCTGTCTTCTTTGAGGAGGGAGAGACACAAGTCTGGTTAATGAAGAGAGAAGCCAGATAGTTCACTTACTTGACTTTGGGTCTTTTATTTTGCAGAGGAGTCCTGCCTCTCTTTGCCTCTCATTCACTGGGTGCCTTGGGCATGCCCTGTGGTCCCCTTGGCCTCAGTCCCCTCAGGAAAATGACGGGGCTCTATTAGGTGGCTTCCAAAGCCCTGCCAGACTCAGAGCCTGTGTATTCTCATGGGTGGCAGCAGCATCTACAGAAGTCCCTGAGAGAATGCAGAGGCGATGGTGACATTTCTGAGACAGTGGAGACAGGAGTCTCAGCCTTGCTGCCTGCCAAAGTAGACAAAGATGGGGGCATGCGGAGCAGGCCTGAGTCCAGCCCAGAGGGAGGGGATTGGCCCCCAGCCTCTGTTCTACAGTCCTTAGGTGCTTGGGGATTGCAACACGGGTCGTGTCCAACTTCAACTCAGCCCATGACACGGACAGGAACCTGAGTGTGGACAAATATGTGGACTCCTTCGGGCGGACCCTGGAGGACCTGACAGAAGACAGCATGTGGTGGGTTCTGCCCCCAGCCCAGCCCAGGGACTCCTAAACCCAGCAGGCAGACATGGCCTCATCTTCCATAAAACGGCCAGGCAGGAGCAAATCCAGGGCCCAGCCTCCTGCCTCAGTTAAGACAAAACTCTTCACACAAAGCTTTACAAAATTCATTTTAGTTTTCTAAAATAGGAAACACATTCATGTGGTTTAATACTCAAAAGGTACAGGATGGATTACCATGATAACTCTCTCTCTCACCCAGTTCCTCGGGCTCCCCGTCTTCCTCCTGGAGGCAACACTGTGACTAGTCTCCCGCATCTCCTTTCAGAGAGACTCTACCAACACAAGAACACACACACACACACACACACACACACACACACACACACACACACACATACACATGTGTGTCTCCCCCACTTTCACCTGCTTAAACAATACTGGCAGCATAGGGCAATACTGTTCCTTCTTGTACATTCAACCGTTGTACATTCAAACAGGACATGAAGAATTGTCCTTATTCCCCATAATGTTTTTGTTTGTTTGTTTGTTTTTGAGTTGGAGTCTCACTCTATCGCCCAAGCTGGAATGCAGTGGCACACTCACGGCCACCCCAGCTTCAACCTGCTAGGCTCAAGTGATCCTTCCTCTTCAGCTTTCCAAGTAGCCAGAACTACAGGCATGTGCCACCATGCCCAGCTAATTTTTTGATTTATTGTAGAGATGAGGTCTCATCAATTTGCCCAGGCTATTCTTGAACCCATGGGCTCAGATAATCCTCTTACCTCAGCCTTCCAAAGTGTTGGGATTACGGGCTTGAAGCACCATGCCCGGCCCCCATAATGTTTTTTGTTTGTTTGTTTGTTTGTTTTGAGTTGGAGTCTCACTCTGTCGCCCAGACTGGAGTGCAGTGGTCGCTCCCAGCCACCGCAGCCTCGCCCTGCTGGGCTCCGGTGATCCTTCCGCCTCAGCCTTCCAAGTAGCTGGAACCACAGGCGTGCGCTACCACACCCAGCTAATTTTTTAATTTATTGTAGAGATGAGGTCTCGCCAAGTTGCCCACGCGGGTCTTGAACCCACGAGCTCAGGCAATCCACTCACCTCGGCCTCCCAAAGTGCTGGGATTACAGGCTGAGCCACCAAGCCTGGCCAATGTTTAAAGTATTAATAATAACAGCACACTCACTGAGCACCTAGTCTGTGCCATCTAAGCCCTGTACATAACTGAACACTCAGATGCTATACATAGATTAGCTCATGTATTTCTCCAGGCAACCTGTGAGTAAGTTAAAATGATTTATTCTACTTTGCAGATGAGAACACTGAAGCACAGAGAGGTTAAGCAATCTGTCTGAGGCCACCCAGCTAGTGAGTGGAAGAGTAAGGGTCTGCCTCTCTATCACACGGAAACACCATTGTTCATCTAACCATCTCATGTGGATGAACATTTCGGTTGCTTCTGTTTTTAAAATGTTGCTTTTACAAACAGGGCTTCAATGAACAACCTTTTTCAAATATCTGTCCTCACATGGTGCAAGTCTGTCACTCAAAGTCAACTTTCTAAAGATTAAGGAACATGGGGAAGAGAACACAAAACAGAAACACGGACAGCCTCAGCCCCTGCTCCCCAGCAGAGCATGCCGGGCCCTTCCTGAGCCAGCCTCTGGCTCGGGCCATCTCTCGGCCCCGCTCTTCCCCTCTCGGCTTCTCTTCTTTTCTGGTTCTCTTCATTCCTTCTCCCTGGGAGCACAGAATTCTGGCATTCTTTTCCTTTCTTCATGCAGAACAAACAGACACTTCCTCTTGATGTTTAGGCTTCTGTCACCAGCCAGGTTGTCAGGATCCCCTCTGTAGCCCCCAAATGCTTACCAAGATATTTCCTAAAGACAGAGACCTCCCCAGGAGGAGCTCTGAGACCAGCCATAAAGGTCAGAGACAGGCAAACCAAGAATCGGGTTCCTCTCTGCTGCTTCCCTCCTGTGTGACCTTGTGCAAGTAGCATTACTCTTCCTAGTCTCCAATGTTCATCTTTAACACAGGAAGCTGGGGGGAAAAAGCCAGAACTTCTTACCAGGGCCTGCAGAGCACTGCATAATCCTCACCCTACCTACCCACTGTGTTTGCCATACCCCCGTAATACTGACATGCTTTTTATTCCTGGAGCACACTAACCTCTTCCTTGCCTCAGGACCTTTGCATGTGCTGTTTCTTCTGCCTGGAGCATTGTACCCTTCACGCTCTGTATGGCTAATCCATTGTCATGTAAGTCTCACCTTAGATGCCATTTACCTAGAGTGGGTTTTCAACAGTTAACACCTATCTCAAGCCTCTCTTTTCCCTCACAGCATTCATTGTCCCAAACATTTGAGGGAAGCAGCTGAGAGGGCATACTTGGTTCTGCTTGTCTCCTTTAGAATGCAGGCTGCGTGAGGGCGAGGATCTTCTGTCTCACGTGCAGTACCTTTACCAACAGGTTCTTGATACATATACGAACATACGTATATACGCACACATATATATACGGGGGTGCCAAACAACGTATGCACATTTTAAGTATGATTGCTCAAAAGATGGTGTTAAATGAATGTTGGCGTCACCATGAGACAGGCAGGACAAAGAAAATGGCGGAAGCACGGTTGCGCAAACGTCACGCTACACATTGCAACCCTAATTCAATTCAACTTCGAAAAGTAATACTTAGGTAACATCTCTTAAAATGGATATACATTTTTTTGGCACCCCCGTATTTA